CTCTGCCCGGGGCCACCCCCTGTCACTGGGGCCATGGCCACCTGCTCTGCCGTGCTCCGCCACAGATGGCCCAGGAGCTTGGTGTGTGTGCAACTGTCCCTTCAGGGAGGACCTGTGGGTGCGAGAGGGGAAGATCCTCAACCCGGAGAAACTCTTCTTTGACGAGAAGGGCTCTGCTGACATCCAGCTGGACTGCAAGGACAGCATCATTGCCCCGGGCTTCATCGACGTCCAGATCAATGGTACGGTAAAGCCACGTGTGCTCACAATGGGCTGGGGGATCACAGGTTTGTCCATCCTGCACCTTCAAACCCTGCTGTGTGCCTACTGCCCATAACCAAGTGCTTTTCAGCTGCTTGAGTAAGATGTGAGTCACCAAACTAACAATGAAGAACAATTCTGCCCATGGCTGCTGCTGTCACATAATTGATCCCCTTTGGCTCGGTGGGGTGTTCAGCCCAGCTTTCCTCTTAACCCCATTTTCATCAACAGTCCCTGCCCCTGCGCCAGCAGGATGCCCACCCTACACTTCCCAGGATGCAGAGGGGACAGAGCAGGACTTCTCAAGGGAACAAACCTTACCTGCAGTAGCTCTTTCCTGAGGGTCAAGACGGGCTTGTTCTATGGTAGCTTGTGTTGGAAGTCGGATCCACTCTTCAGTGACGAATCCTCAGATTTTGCCTTTCATCAAAATAAAAATTTGGTGCTTGCAAAACACTGGGATGCTGTGGGGAGAAGCACTTCAGGTGGACAGCACTGTACAGATTTGTACTCGCAGAGCCTCACAAATGTAGGACAGGAGAAGTGCTGGTGGGGCCCTTTGCTTCTGGTCAGTGCTGTACAAATGCAGTGGCTCACTCCGGTCATGCAAAATGTTTCTTCAGCATTTCGGGTGGAAAAACAACCACTGGGGAAGTTGCAGTTTCATCTCTGTTTTTTTTCATGGTGCAGGAGGCTTTGGGGTAGACTTCTCCTTGGCTACAAATGACTTCAAATCAGGGATTGACCTGGTCAGTCAGAAAATCCTCTCCCATGGAGTGACCTCCTTCTGTCCCACCCTGGTGACCTCTCCTCCGTCTGTGTACCACCAGGTAAGTGACTTTCTCATTTGCAGAGTGATAAAGGGCTGAGGTTGGTACCAGGAGGTGAGAGGGCCAAGGCTGGGCCTGCAGAGACTGGGATAGCTGCCCGGGCGGAAGAGCCGTGGGCATGAGGAGCTGGGCTCCTCCCCTGGATTTCTTGCCCTTAACCTTTAGACCACTGAGACAGTGACGTCTCCCAGGCCAGCTTTGCACAACAGGGCTTGCAGCTGGCTTTTTCTTTCTGGGCTGTGTTTGGCTGAGGGGCCCAAGTGGTCCAGCTACAAGGCCCTCTGTGGACCCAACATGTGGGTTTGTTTGGGCAGGCTGGGGTGCGATGTCTGGGGTGCGATGTCTGACAAACCCCTTTCTGTAGGTTCTCCCTCAGATCAGTGTAAGAAATGGTGGAGCCCACGGAGCAGGTATTCTGGGTAAGTCAGTCCCTTGCTATCCTCTCTGGTGCTGCTCTAGGTAGGCAATTATCTTGGTCGTTGTTAAGGGGAAAGATGGTACTGTAGGGACAGCACAAATGGGCGCTGGAGCTCTCTCGCTAGGAGGGAGGCACAGGTGGGCACAGATCCGCTTTCTCCCTCAGCCTGTGCCTGCCCTTTGCCATCACACATGCACCGCTGCAGCCCTTTTGCGCCCCACGGGGTAATGGCAGTGGGGTGGCTTGGCCAGTTGCCAGCACTGCATATTCCGCTCTGCTGAGCTCCGAGTCACCTGAGCCGTGTGTTTTGCTGCAGGAGAATGGCAAGAGCTTGACTGGAGAAGGGTTGACACAGCAGGTTTCTTGGTCCTTGGCAGGGAGAGGAAGGGTCATGGCTTTGTGTTCCTGTTTGGGCAGGGGCCCATCTGGAAGGACCATTCATCAGCAAGGAGAAGAAAGGGGCACACCCGGAGCATTGCCTCCGCACCTTTGAGGCAGGTGCCTTCCAGGACCTGCTTGCCACCTACGGGTCCCTGGACTGTGTCCGGATAGTCACCCTGGCCCCAGAGATGAAGAGGAGCAGTGAGGTGATCCGGGAACTCTCCAAGCGGGGCATCTGTGTCTCACTCGGTAAGGGCTGGGGCGGAGGAGGCTTAGGGAGGCTCCATCTCCCTCTGCCCCATGGGCCAGGCAGCCCCTCCCTTGGGGCTGTAGCATCTCTAATGGTGTCTTCGTGCGACTGGGTGGGGTGGGATTTTTTTTTTGCCTGGCCTGTATGGAGGTGGCAGATCTGTGACAAGTGGGGACCTTGGTCGATGCTGCAAATCTGTTGCCCTTTGTACGGTAAGGGCCAAACTTCATATTGATTGAGGAGCCCCAGCCATTTAACACAAGCTAGCATTTGGTACTGTTCAAACACAGGAAAGAACAGCAGTCTTACTTGAATGAAGATGTAATTGAGGGTTGGTGATGTGGAAAGGTTCAAACTCTGAACTTCAACTGCTTTACGCCTTGTTTGAAATCATTTTCCAGAGGTTACTGATGAGTTTTGGTAACTGTTTTTCAACTGGAAGCACTGTAGGAGACCTCTCCCTCCAATGTCTTGTTGGCCACTGAGTTAAAACTGGCTGCATTTTTCGTGTCCTCTGTTTCACAAACTCTTCTTTGCCTCAGATCATTGAATAAATTTTTTTTTGTTAAAAAAAAAAAAGGGGGCAGGGAGTTATTCAGGGTGAAATTAAACCTTAAACGAGAAGGGCATTCATACAGCAGAGCATCTCTTATCTCACAGCCACATAAAGCGAAGAACTACAGAAGGGAAAGACTTGCCCACAGAGCATTAGAGCTGCTGTCCATGTTGGAGAAAACAGAATTTTCTTTCTGGATAGTTTTATACCCATATTCTTTCTTGGCAAAGTCCCCACTGTCTCTACTCCCTTGAACCTCTCTATAAAGCCTTTAAATATCTAAGGACAGCAGAAAGGCATGTCCTTGGACCTCCAGCCCAGCCTGAAGGCAACTTCCTGGGAGCAAGGCAGCATCTGTGATGGTTGTGACGTGAACAGTGAACATGTTCAGGTGAAACACCCACTACCAGTGTACCCCACAGTCACGGCCAGGCACCTCTGTGCCGAGGCTGGCATCTCAGCCCTCAGCCCAGGGTGGGGCATCAGGGTAGAGTCCTAGTGTCGGAGCGTCTTCACTCCTGTAGGGAAAT